CTCGTGGCCGTAGCTGAGAAAGGATTGTTGGAGCATGTGTGGGCACGATGCTCCCCGGGCGTGGTAGAAGCAGGTTTTGGAGTCCCTCATGTACTTCTGCATGTCTTCTGTGGAATCCTCCGGTTTCGGCGCGTCTTCCGGAGGTTCACTTGGAGAAAGCGGGGTAAGGAGAAGTTGTGGTCACGTCGAAACGCCTTCTCGCAAGTGTTTCAGTGCTGACCAAACCCTTCTCGACGCCCACGGTAATCGGCCGCCGCCCCGTGGAGAACGACAGTTCTCCGAGATCATTCGCCACAAAAGATAGCGGTTGAAGCTGGTGGTATGTGGCCTAACAAGGAGGCTTTCGGGGATTGATGTGGCTGGTCGTCCTGCCAAGACCGGACATACATTACGATCGCCGTACGAGCAATACCGCGCCATTCGAACACTTACATCCCCACGGAACTACACTGGAAAGCCTTTCCAAAATAGGCTTGGTCTACAACCAGACGTCTTGCACACATGGCCAGCTCTACGTGGGTGGGGCTCAGAAGCGCGCCTCAAAGTACGTGCCTCACATTTCACCATCATCGCACCAATGTACGTGGCGATGTCAACAGAGTTGCTATTATCGCGAACGCAATGTATCTATGCTACATTCTCTGCTTTCGTACAAGCTGCAACCGACTGTCCCGTTGACTCTGCCGCCCTGCCACTCGACTATCTCACCTACATCGGATGCATCCCTCCCGTACCTCATACAAAAATCAAAGTTTCTTAATACCCTCGCGAGGGCTACTGCCCTAACGTTGCACCAGGTCGAGACCAACAGACCCAAGTCCAACCGCCCCGCGACAATCAACATACGGATGGATGGCGCTTGGATTGGGCCCAAACAGTGGAGCGTCTTAAAAAGCCAACATAGCAGTAGCTGCAACGGTATTTGGTCCTGCATGGTCGTTCACAGTGGTGGTCAATAATAGTGCCTGGAGTATTGCATGAAAGGATGTTCATCAGCAGCCCGAGCCAGGATATTACTCTTGGTTTCAGTAGGGGGTACGGGATATGGGGTTATGGTTAGTTAGGGTGGGGGACAGGGATACGAAACCCCCTCTATATTTCATGCCAGCAAGATAGTAACAAATAGAATCCTAGCGAAGGCCGTCCAAATTGACTGCATGTATGTACGTGGCCGTTGTTCTGGGGCGTTGTATTGCCTAGAGGTACCTCTGTAGTTCAGTTTTACACCCATTCCATTGCCTTTGTGTTGCCATGAGGGGAGAATAGGGATACCTTCTTCTGTGTTTCTTACACCACCGTGATGTGCATTTAGCATGCACCACTTTTTTGAGTTGGCGTTGCCTTTGGTGTCAGTGACTTTGCCGTGCCCTGGTGTCTGTGACGTCCCGTGTCGTGCAGTATGCAAACAATACATGGAACATTTTGACTTTGTGTTTCCGTTCGTGTGTCGTCAGAACATGCCTAATGCCTAAAAGTAAACGCCTCTCTTGCCGCTGTCATGGAGCGACCATCGTTCGTGTCACTGCCAGTTCAGTTCATGTCAGAAAAGGCAACCCCCATTCGTCGAGCGCCAACTAACAAGCGTCTTTTGCGGCACGCTTCTCTTCCCGGCGCAACCCGTCTAAAAAAGCCTAGTACTTCGTACACGTATTTTCTATCCTTTCATCGCGCATAACATGCATACATAGCAGGCACCTGTATATGTGATGAATACTTGTATCGTAGCGATGCCAAATTGATGGTACGGCAATTTGCCAGGGGATACAAGTATGGTACCGTGGGAGACAGCGGGTTATCGTCTGTCCGAGGTACACGGGGTGGGCGTGTGTGCGACGAGAACGAGAGAAAATGCGACTTTTTTTTTGTTTTCTCCTTGGCGCGTTGGCTCCGAACATCTCTACCCTATCCCACGGCAAGCCCCTTCGGCCAGCTAGAAGCTAGTCCCAGTTCGCATGGTCCCAACAAAGCACACAAGCACATGGTGGGTAGCATGTGTATATATAGGTGTGGGAACAAGGTTCTGCAACCAGGTGTGTTGCTTCAACATCTCCTCGCGGAATGTACGTAACGAAGGCTATTCAATGATTGATTGATACCCCGGGTACATGGCACGTTCGTGCTGATTGGGGCGCGCCTTACGTCAACTCTATGCATATGTGCATACGTTGTTGTCACAGCCCTGGTGCAGACATTGATATCATGCGCATATGAGCACATGCATGTCTCGTAGATCGTGACGTGTCCGATGACCTGTCGGAGATCTATCTGCCTTCCGGGCTCGGGATGTTGCCACAAGTTTAGAGCCAGTGACGTGTGGGATGTACCCACAGAACAACAACAACGAGCACAAAGGGCGAGCTTTCCCCCGCGCTCACTCGCTGTACACGCTCTACCTCTACAATCTCTAGCCTAGACGGTATCGTCCGTCCCGATTCATCCCGTCCCCCCCTCCCTTACGATGAGAGGGCGAGCTTGCCAGTTGTGTGCCACACGCCACACATGAGCGCAGGGGGGGGCCAAGAAAAAACAGATTCATTTTCGTTGCTGTGTTGCTGTCCAGCTTTCCAGTGCAACAACCCAAACGGACAACTTGTAGTCCACACATGATGCAGTTGACAACCTACCCTTCGAGTTAGTTCAATAGGTCATCTGCACCTCACAGGACCACAGCCGTTCTCTCAGTGGTAACTGCTTCAATGGATATCTTGCCTGCCGACGATCAGTGCGCCAACAACCTGCAGGCTGAAAGTGCAATCAAGAAATGCTTACGTACGTTTGATGCCATGAGAGACACCATAAACACCACGAGACCATGATATGAGACTGATAACCCGGCCAATCGATCGGGGAAAAAAACAAGAGGTCTGTTCCTTCCGCAGTGAATACCAGCGCCCAAGCCAAAAGCGCTGCTGCTGCTCTCCATGCATCGCGTCTAAGGCTATGAGATCGCAGAGCATGCCCGGTCGATATAATCTTCACGTACGTGCGCATCGATCGTCGCGCACACAACACAGAACACAGACCTTGCGAGCTCTCTCCGCTTCCAGCTCGGCAGCTTGACGTAGATCCGCCGCACGCCCCAGCCCGAGATAGTCGTTGCTCGTGAAGTCCACGAAGCACCGGTCCTGCTCCGGCGTGCGCAGCTCGCGGAGGGTTCCCTCCTCCCGCCGCCTCGCCAGAATCTGTCTCATCCATCCCTCCGGGTCCATCATGCACCCTCCTTTGTGGTGGGAAAGAAACCACAAATCAGCACATTTTTCCGACACGCAGAGAGAGGACCGAGAGACACGACGATGCAGCAGGTGGTTTTTGTACCTTAGCACAAGACTGTACCTTTTCATATGCCAAAGTGATGCCTTTTCAAAAGAGATAGGGGGAGACGATTGGTTTATTTACAAGATATGTTTTAGTGTCCCTGGGAGTTCCAGCGGCGGAATGTCTGTACCCTTTTCATGTACACCTTTTCGCTGTTTCTCGGCCTCCCTCTTTCTCGCTCTCTCTCCCGCTCTCTATCCCTTCGGACACACGCAACAGTCGTACCGGAGCAGCACACAGAAGTCAACCCGAGCCGACGCCGCGCAGCCCTCGATCCACCACACCCAAGAAGCCTAGTGGGAGCTAGGAGTAGCTAGATCTGTGAGCGCCGCCCGCTGCGAGAGCACCATTGCCTGCTGCTGCTACTGCAGTGGTTTTCCTGCCTGTACGCCAGGACTCGTTCCAGCAGCAAAGGACAACACCGCCTTCTTGCCAGGAGTGCGCTCTCAACGCGCCCTCAGGGAGCACCTCACAGCGCGCGCTAGGCCAGGTACGTGTGGTCTCTGTGTTGGTCCATGGGAGGAGCCGCGGCACGCCCGTGAGTCGGGGTCTGCTTGAGTTTTTGTCAGTGTCTGTCAGGAGGGTCCGCCTTGCTTGCCCGCAGCTTTTGTGCCAGCAGGCAACGACGCCGGTAACGCTCTCCAAACCTATTCACCACCAGCACCAGTAGCAGCGGTGCTCTAGGGCGACGCCCCGGGCGCGCTGCTGCAAGCAGCCTGCGGGCGCGCCTGCTGACGAGCCTGTGCGCTCCGCGAGCCCCCTCTTCCTGCCCACGGGCTCCGCGCGAGAGCTGCCGCCTGTGAACATTTTGGGTGAAAGGTTTATGACCGTTTTGAGAGCGCGGTTTTTCTCTCGCCCTTTGCTGCGTCTCTCTCGCACACTCGAACACATTGCTGTCTGTCCTGCTGCTGTGGTAGAGCCAGCGATTCCGTTGCCCTACCTGCTGACAGCGCGCAGCACGGCTCGTGGCCCTGAACGAGTTGCCAAGGCCTAGCCCAGCTCTTGCGCCCGCTGTCCCTCTCAAAGGACTCCGCTTTTTCCGGCTGAACAAGTATGTTGTTGCACAAAGCTCAAAAACTCGAAACACACATCACATACACACGCGCAAAAATCGAAAAATCAATCGGCCTTTCCGCTCATTGGCAGGTCTGCCTCTACCTTGTGTACTTCGAATGTTGATTCTCTACTTCACTTGCCGATTCTCTGCTCGCCGCCCCCTCAGGAGGCGCAGGCACGCTCTCAAGAGGCCTCACCACCTTCCGCCTGAGCGTTGAAAAGGAGGCGCAGCAGCAGCAGCAACATCTGCTGGCATGCTGGCCAACGGCGGAACCATGATCAACCCGGCAGCAGCAGCAGCAGCAGCCGGAGGAGCGGGGGGGGACATGCTCACCCACCACCCGGATGACCGACGAAATCTCGCCGCACCTTCTTCTTCTTCAGGGGGTGACGCCAAGATACCGGCTCCAACCATATCATCATCGCCCCTTCGGAAGGCAGCGGACGATGAGCGATCTTCTCCTCCTAAGGCTGGCGACGGTGGCGCAGCGGACGCTGCTGTATCATCATCGTCATCATCATCAGCGAAGCGGCCGGTGCAGTCTAAGAAAGAGGGCGGAGGAGACGGCGGCGGCAACAGCAACAGCAGTGCGACCACCGATGCTGCCAGCAGCCACGCCAACAGCAAATCACCGACTACTGCTGCCGCTGTGTCTTCATCGTCATCACACCCTGGTGAGGCGGCGCCAGCAGATGCTGCTGCTGCTGCTGCGTTGAAGGAAAGGATTCAGGACCATTTCAGCAGCGCCGCTGCTTCCGCCACTACCAACCCTTCAACAGCTCAGCGGGACGATGATGCACGAGAGTCAAGCAACGGCAACCAGCCGTCGGCCAACAACAAGCCCGCAGGGGAGGGGCAGACGAGTGCCACCACCACCGCCAAGCCGGCAGCAATAGCAGGGCTCCCCGCAGAATCCAATCCCGGTCAGACACGCGACATCGCTGCTGCTGGTGGTGATGTCGACAAAAAATCAGCGGCCACCCCGAAGGAAGCGGCCGCAGCGGCAGGGGAGAGCAACAACAACAAGCAGCCGCCGCGGCTCGCCGGCAGGCCGCCTGCTGTCGTGGGGGCGGCGGTAGCGGCGGCGGCGGCGGCAGCGGCGGCGGTACCGACAACGGCGGCAGGAGAGTCTTATTCTTCCTTGATGGCGAAACGGTTCCCTCCGGAACAGCGGCGGCAAGAAGAGGAGGTGGTTGGTAGCCCGAGCACCCCGCCGCAGCAGCAGAAGCAGAAAGAGCGGGACGGAGGAGGGGTTGCTGGGATGGACGTCGATGAGGGCGAGTCGGGTGGACCACAGCAGCAGGTGTGTTGGTCTTCTGTGTTGCGTCGCGTACTGCTGTTCCATTTGTCGTACTCGCTCTCCCGTGTGTCATGTTTGAAAGCGAACCTGCTGTGTGTGTGTACTTGAATATTTGATTTTCAGAAGAAATGTTTATTTTCCGTGTTGCGTGTTGTTAAGTACCCTCCCTGCCTGGTGTTTTGTTTTCCATCTCCCTCGTGCCCATGACGTAGGCTGCACCTCCCTATCAAGTTTTCCGCCGGGATGGTCATGCACTGGTTCGACTGGGGCGTCCATCTCTTTTTTCCACCCAGGCACTCTATTTTGTTCTTGATAGTACCATGTACACTTTCCCTTTGGTGAGGTCACACAAATCTTCCATAAATCCGCACCGTAGGTGCATTTATACCCACAATGTTTGCAGTCACTGGCGAGGTATGAAAAAAGTATACATGAAAATATAGGTAGGGAGTAAGAGAAATAAAATAGGTAGGTAAGGAAGAGAAATGGCATCTAAATAAAACATGCGCGAAAAAATTAACGCGCTTCGGGAATATTTCAACGTTCGCTAGCGTGGGGGTTCGAAAGAGGCTATACTTTGTGTTGGCGTCCACAGAGCCTGCGCTCAACACTGCACTTGGTCGACTTCTGTGCTTGTACCGTATACTGGGCCGATTGTTTACCCTGCGAGAGCTGCGGACCCTGAGAATTGGCTTGGAGGTGGTTCTTGCATGTGTGCGCAGTCGACTATCTCATGGCCGATACTACACCATAATTGCGTTGTTGCGTTGTTGCGTTGCCGCCGCCGCTGTAGCTGTTGATTGTTGTTGGCGGTTGGGAATTGGTGTTCATACCTGATGTAATTTTTTTTTTCTTTTTTTTTTTTTGCGTGAACCACCGTTCCACCGGCCGGCATCTTCCTGTAGAACCCCCATTTTTTCACGCATCACAAAGAAGATCGATCGCGCGCCCGCAGCCAATTTTTGAAACCTAAGATGATCTCATCCGTTTCAAAACTGCCGGCCTCTAGTTAACACGCAACCCAAAGCATACGCATATGCTATCTCTTCCCTGTGCACGGATGCCAAGTGTGAAAAATACCAAGATTGAAGTTAAGATTGACGCGATGTTGTTGCGTAATTGACGAAATTTTCCAGCAGCAGCAGCAGCAGCCCGGGGGCGACGCAGATGCGGGTCCGTTTTCATCCCCATCCAGCGTGCTAGAGGACCCCCCCCTGGGGGAGGGATGGGATGAGCACGGGAACGACCTCTCCAAGGCTGCGAATGACGTGAGTAGGGTACACGATACTCGTGTATGTGCATGCATGCTTGCTCGAGTATTTGTGTTGGGAAATATGAAGCAGCCCAAGGGCCAAAGGTGTGTACATGCCTTGTTATGCGATGGACGGTTGTCAAGAAAATGAATCACCAGCATGGACAAAGGTGTTTACATGTCTTCTATGCGATGAACGGTTGTCAAGAAAATGAAGCTGCAGCACGGACGCCAAGGCCAAGCCGTTGAAGCATACAGTACCATCTGCCAACATTTGCTGCTGCCACAGGCTTACTTACAGTAGCCCTGTGCGGACGTCGTTAATTTTATGTTTTCATGGACGAAACTCCTGTAATTTGAATGCCGTACGTAGGATTCAGTACCTAGGTCGACCGAAACTCCTTGGATTGAGTGAGGATGAAGGTGCATGTAAATTGCATGTGCGGTTTCTCTTCCAACGGCTTTGATCGTCCGAATGCCGGCCCAGAAAAACATTGTCAATAAGAAACCTATGTAGCTCAGCATCTACTACCCTCCCTCTATGTAAACATGCCTTATTTTGTTCATTCGCAACAGGATGTCCGCAAGGTGCACTGCGAGGCGTGGATAGCCAAGCTGAGGCAGGAGGCAGCTGCCATCCGGTGAGTCTTCTCAAGACTTGTTTATCTACTTTTAGAACCAGCTCGCATGACAAATAAATACATGTATGACATGATACGAAGTTATAGTACGATGCCCGAGGCAAGAGGCAGCTGCCATCCGGTGAGTCTTCTCAATACTTTCGTCTGTTGAAAACCATCGTGTACAATATCTAAGCACCACAATGTAGATACCAGAATATAGATCGCATAAACGCTACGTGGCCTCAGCACTGTCCACTTGCTGTAGTACTGAGGGAAATCGCTTCCCTACCGAACGTTGTCACTCACTGCTGTCTGTGCTTACCGGTGTGCTATTCCTGCTGCCTCCCTTTGCGGACCGTTCCGCACTTGTCAACGGTACGGAACGACGGGTCGAGCAGAGCTGGCGACCACCCGGCCGTGATGCGGAGATCTAAGCTCACCATGAACGCCAGCAAGCGAAGGGCGGAGATGACCGAGAGAAGCGCCAAGAGACAGGCAAGTACCCCCCCGCCCCCCTAGCATGTGGTCCCAGCCCCCGTGCCCCCCCCACCCCCCGCCCCCCTGGACA